AGTACCCCCCTTAACTGACGGGATGTCTCCAGAGGGTTAGGGCTCTTCAGCCATAACCGGGCCAACCGACCGGAATACGAGCAAGGATGACAATTAGTTTCTGGTAACTGTTGGCATGCTACTGATCCAGCTCGCTGTAATCGTTGGTAGTCACATGCATCAAGAACAGCAGCGGTGAGATGAGTAGTCGTGTGAGCTATCCGCAGGAAACAGCTTCAAAGAGAAGAAGCATTGAAACTTTTGAGTAGCACCACTACTCGTGAAGATACTAGCAGGGGTTGTTGTTGGGCGGCCCTGGTCGTTTCTATAATCAACTCAACGTCCCCCAGAACCTTTTCGGGACCTCTGCTCTTTGTAGTTGGGGAGCGCATCTGCAGATGCATGAAGTTAACCTCTTTTGTCCAGAGCATTCACCTTGAAGGTAAGGCTAACTTGTGTTCTTGTACACGCTCACTTCTACAACCTACGAGCTGTGGTCATCATGATTGTGATACCTGGTACTCTCACAACAATTGTTGCGTAGATTATTCTCCCTTTTATTAGCCCTACCTTCCTTGCGTGGTGACATTGGGCAGCCCAGGAGCATTTCAGCGCTGCTGGCAAGACCGGGGTGATACTGCAGGACGACGCTCGGAGCCAGGGGTAAACTTCTTCGCGTAAGACTTCGATTGTAGGGTAGTAGGTGTGGGGTTCTACATGTCTTGTGCTAGTTAACGGTTTTTTTAAATGCAGGTGTGGCTCGCGTTGGGACAGCAACAAGAATGCTGTAGATTTTGGTGATTGTTTTTGACTTTGCTTGGGATAGTCTGAACATAGCCGCTGCAATTTCCAGTCATACTAATCGCAAATGATCCACCCGAGGATGGTGCGGAGGACTACCGCTACCTGGTAGATTTCGGCGGAGCTTCACGAAAGTTTCTGAGTTGAATTGATGACAAGTTGGGGAAGAAGGTTGCCTACATGTTCCCGGCTAGCAATTTGCCGTTGCAGTAGCACCAACACAGAGACCGAAATTTTCTAGGCTGGAATCCTAGGGGTTCTGAAGCTCATAATGCCAAGCGCGAAATCAAGGCTTTAAAATGGAGCATCACATGAATCCGGTCCTTGTAAAGGGATTATATGTCCCCAAATGCAGTTAAGTGGGTAAATGCACCTTCAATACCTACATGATCTGACGTAGTTTCTAGACGAGCCCAGGTCCTGGTTCCGTGGCTCCTGGCTATCTGAGGGCGGTGAGCCTCCCCAACAAAGCCGTGCGCAAACTTCGAAACATGGAGCATTAGCGGCTGGGCACAAGCTTTGTTTTCACGAATCCAGTCTAGCTTTTCCAATGAAGCATAGGTCCTTCGTAGGCAGTACAGGGCGAGCATTAGCTGTAGCGATAGCTCCAGCGGTAGCAAGGGTGGTCGTCGTCGTCGTCGTACTGGTGGTAGTAGTAGTAGTAGTAGTAGGAGGCGCCCCCACCCCTTAGGCACTACCGTTTTAGTTAAAATTCATTATAAACAGGTTGGGGAAGGG